GTGTCACCAAGTTACAGCCCATGTTTCATCATTCTAGTGAAATCTTGGGATTTTACATTCATTTTTGTACAGAGTGTTATTAAAAAAACATTTCTCTATTTCTCGAATCAAGCTAAAAATACTTTTCAAATATTAAGTTATTTATTATACAGTGGCTGGGAAGAAATTCTAGTGACACCACTAGAAAGCTGACAAATGCATGAAGGTAGGATTCTCATATCACATTAAGATAATTTTTTTAAACTTAAAGAGGCATATTGACAAAACCAAATTCCCATGTCATGATAAGACAAAGTAAAACAAAGCACAAAACAAAGGGCTGAAAACAATAAAAACTTAACCATAAGAAAACTGCCAAATGGACAAATTTCTTCTCTGCCTCTAGCAATTACTACCAACATGGAGAATTGGTAGTAATTGCTGTGTACAGGACAAGCTGCTTTCATAAACGAGAAATATCTTCTTCTGTTCCTGGATTTAAAAAAATGTTTTATTAATAAGATAAAATACAGGATGGTTTGCATTCATGAAGTAGATTTGTTAATCATGTTTATAAAACACAAGATAAGTACCAGCATATTAGCTCAAATATAGGCACTAAATTAATAAGGATGGGTTGAATCTTCCTTTCTTAAAAATCTACTGAAATTACAAAATAAAGTTTTCAGTGCAAATATAGAAATTAATGTGCACCATTCGTTGAAAAACTGCGTAGAGAGGGCTGTAAAACACAGTGAAGCAGTATATAAGTCTAAGCGCTATTGCTTTGAAAAACATATTCAAGAAGAAAGTGTCCAGAAACATAAGAGGATTCAACATCACTGCATAGAATAAATATTTTCAGACTTCCCTATAAACAATTTGACCCGTTTCTAATACCACTAAAGCACAACTGAACAAGAGGCTATTTTGTCTTCATTAGCCAAACAGCTGAAAGAATATTTTATAGCTTACCAAAATTAGCTAAAATTGTTATCTTTATTACAGAGCTAATGTACAGATAATCCTTATTTAGCAACTTTTGCAGTTACAACCAAGATTAAAAAGTACTTTTGTGACCAGTCTCATTTACAACCTTCATAGGTCTATAAAGCAAAGGAAAGCTGAAACAATACCATAGGCACAGTTGCGGTTTCATTTAGCACCCACTGTGCTTAACAACTGAGTTGCCGGTCTCAACTATGGTTGGTAAAGAACGACTAGTTTTATCAAAATTTTATACAGGTAGTCCTTGACTTAGGACCACAATTGAGCCCAAAATTTCTGTTGTTAAGCGAGACATTCATTAATTGAGCTTTGCCCCATTTTATAACTTTTCTTGCCACAGTTGTTAAGTGAATCACTTCAGTTGTTAAATTAGTAACAAGGTTAAGTGAATCTGGCTTCCCAATGGCCTTTGCTTGTCAGTAGGTCACAAAAGGTGATCACATGACCCTGGGACACTGAAATCGTCGTAACAACCAGTTGCTAAATGTACAAATTTTGATCATGTGACCATTGGGATACTGTAACAATCATAAGTATGAAAAACAGTCATAAGTCACTTTTTTTAGTGTCGTGACTTTGAACGGTCACTAAACAAACCATTGTAAATTGAAGACTAACTGTACTTATTCCTGTGTATTTTTTTTAGACACATAAATAAAAACGGGATAAAAATCTGATAAAGCATATAAATAGTTTGTCCTTTCTTATGCCTGACTATGTTGGCCAACACATACATTCCCACATAATAAATTTAATAAATGGTGTAAAAATATCAGTATTTATCTGCAAAATATATACAAAAATATAGATAGAATATAAACTAAAATGTACCCCTTCCATCTATGTAATTAGGTTACTTTTTGTTCTTTATTTAAATGATTTGATAGCTATAACACTGCACTACATCCAAACCTTAATCAGGTAACTATTAAACAAATATCTGTACAGAATCTAGTCTTAAAAGTTTAATTTACATTTTGGTTTACATCAGATGAATGATGACATAGTTATTTTTAACAAAAAAATAGTTTTATAAAGTCACTATTTTAGATGCAAATGCTTTTCCTGAACTCAGTATTCACTCACTCAGTGTTCACTATTGATCCAAAAGAAAAAATTTATACATATTAGATAGTTGCTTCAGCATCTAAAAATACAGTTAATGTCTAAAGAAAGGGAAGATCATTCCTAAAGAATAAACATCAAATTGTCCAACTTTTTTTTCCTCACAGATGATAAACTCATTAAAGTGATTAAAGATTCTAATTAAAGAAATTTCATTTCATGTGCACTTCAATTTACAATCATTTTTTAAAATGTTTTGCCACATTTCCGGACACATTTTCAATTTCCAGTTAATGTTAAGTGTGTCAGAACAGCTATACAAGTTACACTACTAAATTGTAAATTAGTAATACATAAAAATAAAAATATGCTTTTAAATGGACAATTTAAAATACAACTTGACAGGAGAATCAGGGTGGTGTAGTGGTTTAAAATGTTGGACAAGGAATGGGGGATGGGCAATTCTAGATTATCCTCAGCCATGGAAACTCAATGGGTGACTTTGGGCTAATCGTTGTCTTAGGCCAATATATGTGGACTTGATCTCCTGAATTAAACCTGGGAGGTAAATGTAATAAATAATCAGGTAATATTGATTATAATATTGCAGAAATCACCAAAATACAAATGAAAAACTACAGTATCATATTAAAGTTACTGCACACAATTTGGACAATGTTTTTGAACTGTGAGCCATCATCCCTAACTGGAGTGTTTTAAAAGAATCAGTTAATACTTGTGCAAAAGAAAACAATGTCAACGTTCCTATTCATTAACTGACTTCAATGTGGTTTCCTTGATGCTCTCTGAGCCTGGTTGTTTGCCTGTAGACGTTTCACTGCCTGACTAAGAAATATCAGTAAACAACCAAGCTCAGAGAGCATCAAGGACTCCACACTTCAACCCTGAGCTACATATATTCTCTTCTAATTAATTATGAATTATGAATCTATAAGGTTAAAATTACCACAGCCTCTAAGCAGTTTAAGCAGGATACCTGTAAACGTCCCTCAAAAAAGAGGGAAACCTTCAGCAAACCCTCTCTTCCCAATCTCACTGGGAGGCAGATTTAACCTCAGATCCCATTAGGAAGCAGAGTCGCCCTATCGGGGAGACCGGAGGCATATAAATTTAGTAAATAAATAATCCAGAGGAGACGGTTTTTGCTCAGGGTATCTGAGCCCTGAGCAATAAAGGATTTTAAAGTTGACAATCAGCATGCTGAATTGTACCTGGAAGCTAACTGGCACTCAGTGCAGTTCCAGAAGCAACACAGAAAAATGTTGATGTGCTCATAATTATATGGGGAGCTGCATGCTATAGCAGCTGAGGTTTCCAAAAGGCTTTCAACCTCAATCTGAACTGCAGGAGCCCAGGTGTGAGATGAAGAAGACATGAGTGACCAGGCATAGTACTTCCCGAACCAGAAATGGCCGCAACTGGCCACAATTAATTAAGATAAAATAAGCAGAGCCATTAAACGACAGGAGTAGCTCACTGATTCAGCTTTGATTAACGAACACAACCACTAAAGTTAACCACTGGACATCAAAGTTGTCCTGCGTACACACAGCCCATTACTTTCCACCCGTAATCAATAGAACAATTGCATCCAGAGCGTCCAAGTGATGCCTATGAACCCTGTCATGTTTTTGGGAGATCTGCGTGCTTTGGCTTCCCATGTTTTCTACTAACAAGGTTTAATAACAAATGGTGGTTTTTTTTAAAAAAAATAAAAAAATGTGCACATAAACAGCAGAGCGGATTAGTTGCCTGCTTTTCAATTACTCAGATATTTGAGAGAAGAAACTATAACCACCAAGCAGAAAATACACCATACCAAGGTGTGGTATTTCAGAATGTTAATATATGGGCTTCCGAGTGACTCAGACCTCATATGTCTTAGCCTGCACTGACTGACAGTAAGGTTGCAATCAAGAATTCCTCTCATTTTAGCCCTGGAACTCAGCTAAAGCCAAAGGAAGCTTTGATTGCTAGTTAGCTCCTTTTGGCTGCCTACTTAACGTACCTTCCCGTCTGTTTCTACACCTTCGGCTCACTAAGCCCAACCTTGTCTAGTTTCCCAAAGCAGATCTCGGGCACAGCCTGACTCACACCAAAGATAGCAGGGACCAGCCTACAAGACACTCCACCTTCAGTTTCTTCCTTAAGACGAAACCGCCACCTAACAAATCTCTCCTGCTCAGCATGAATCCAGGCGTCCTTTCTTGCCCTGTATTGTCCAAGCCCTCTTTCTCTTTGTTTAAGGAGCGAAAGGGGGGTGGGGGGAAACTGCACGACCAGCCAAAGCACCTCAAGCTCTCTCTCTTTCTGTCCCCCCCTCCCCACTCCTTTAGAGAGAGAGAGAGAGAGAGAGAGCACGGATGCTGTGGATTCCCCCTTTCGAAAAGACCCAGCGCTCTTGCAACGAAACCGACGTCCTTCAACCCACCGCTGGAAAAAAAAACCTCAGAGAGCGCCTGTGAATCGAGATCAAATCTTGTAGCAGAATTCTAAGCGGTGAAAAGGAAGAGAAAGAAAAAAAAAAGGAAGAAAAAAAGAGGAGGGGGATTTTTTTTCCTTTGGGCCCCGCCCCCTCCTCCCCCTCCTCCCCCCCCTGGGAAACGGACCGACACCCCCCCTCCCCACGTTACCCGAGTCACCCTTTTCTCTCTTCTCCCCCCCCCCCCCCCGAGGCGCTTCCACTACTTCGCTCAACAAAGCAGCCCGGGCGCGACCTCCCTCCAGCTCCCCGCCACACGGGGGAGATTGCGGGGCGGAGGGGGCTGCGCCTGCCTACACACAAACACGCATACATGCATGCATACACAAAAGCAGCCGGCCGAGCTCGCTCGCTCCTTTCCCGCAGAGGGTTGGTCTCGAAGCCCGGGCACAATGAAGAGGAACCGGGGTTGTGTATGTGTGGGGGGGGGAGGGAGGGAACTCACCCAGAGCTCCGTGCCCCAACTCATGGCGACTCCGCTGGCAGCGCAAGCTTCGCCGTCGGCGCTCCTTTGTGGCTCTTCGGGTCGCTTTTCCCGAGGCTTCGGCGCTGGCAGGAACGGCGGCGGTAGCAACGCACCCCGTCCTTGTCCTCACCGAGCGGTGGAGAAGCGTCGCCCCGTTTAGCTCTGGAGAGAAGGGGGTGATATTGGTGGTAGTGGCGGCAGAGGCAGCGGTGACCGAACCTCCAACTCCGCCTCGCGTCAGGATGGGAATAAGGAAAAAGAGGGGGACGGCGAAGGAGGGAGGGAGGGTAGCCGCGAAGGAGGCTGGGAGAGGGGCGGGCTCGGCCACCGCAGCCGCTCCTTAGGGAGGCCCGGGGATTAGGAGCGAGGAGAGAACTGGTTCCTTCGCTGCTGCTGCTGCTGCTCGCTCGCTGGCCGGCCGCTGCTGGCCCGCTTACTGCCACGGCCGCCTTTTCGCCTCACGAGCTGCAGGAGGAAGAGGGCAGGCTCTCCGCGGGGAGGGAGGACTCAGAAAGCCTCTGGGTTACTACAGGTGAAGTGCTGCCACCTTTCTGGAAGCTCTCCTCCACTTCAGGAAAGCCAAGCACACAAAAACGATTTGCAAACGGTGCTACCCCGGTTCCTGATTCCGTGCGAGTTAAAAACATAAAAATAATAAAAATAGAGCGTGCACGTGTCCGACAGTACCGTGGGGAGCAGTTCGTCAGGGAAATCGTGGCCCCCTTTTCAGTATAGGCTACAAAGCAAATCTATGACAATTCGTCACGGCCAACTCACCAACGTTAACTTGCCACGGCCATCTCACCACAGGACAACTCACTGCGGGACAAGAGTTACACTAATACCAAAGAAATGGTGAAATAGAATCATGAAAGAAAGGATGCAAAAAGTGGGAACAGAATGAAATGTGAATGGCGAAAATCAAAATAATTTTTATTTATTTTTATTTATTTATATAGAAATGCTAAATTGTCCCGCAGCGACTTGGTTGTGACAAATTGTCCCATTCCCAGCTAAGGATGCTTGCATTTCTGCAGCGAATTGGCTTAAGTGGCCTCAGATGGCTTCTTTCCTTTTCTAGCTAGCAGGTTTTGGATTCTTTGGTTTTATTTTGGTGCATTAAAAGAGGCCATTCACACAACTGCATCTTTGAGTGGTTAAAGACGTTCTCGACTACTAATTCCTTTCCTTCCTTCCCTCTGCAAATATTTTATCCTCTTGGCCACATTTCAGAATGTGCATATTCATGTTTTTAGATAGACATTAAAAGAGATGGAATTCAGTCCTATGTACACTACAAAAATCAGGCAAAATTGCCTATCTGAAGGCCAAGAATGTTTTATAGCTGCTGGAACAAAATAACAAGATAAATAATTGTCTGCTAATTGATGCTTCAAGTATAGAAATTATTGCCTACTGCAGTTAACCCTTAGTACATCTAAAAGTGTCCTAAATGCTTTAGGCAAAATAAACAGGTTCCTATCTAAATTGGCTGAAACTTTTTACTTTGGAAAAGCTTTTGTGTGTGCATATATGTATATTTGTGTGGTGGTGGGATTTTTTTGCAATACTTTGTTTTTGCAAATTGGGACAGTACCAAGCACTGAATGTTATAATAAGGGTTATTTACAGGAAGCAGTTCCTTGCTGCTAATATTAATGGGGTAATGAAATGTCTGCAAGCAAACAAGCTCAAAGAGCACCTGGGACTCTACAGCTTTAGACAATTGTATGTCTGAATAATCTACGTATAAGGTATTGCTCCTCACAAGGTGTGTGTCCTCTTTGACTAGTGGAACTATTGACTGAATGCAATGGAAAGAAGTTAAAAACAGTGGTGTAACCATTCTGTGTAAATAAAAAATAAGTGCCATAATCTAATTTGATGGGATCCAGAACTGATATAATGCATTTAGAATATAAGGGGAGGTGACTGAGAGGAGGATTGGATTTCTGCATAAATCTGTGGATGGAGTGAGACATATGGTTAGAAAATAAGGACGGGGGAGCTCCCATTACTTGCCCCTTCTCCTGCCATCTAGCAGTTCAAAAGCATGCAAATGTGAGTAGATAAACAGGTACCACTTCAGTGGGAAGGTAACATTCTGTGCGCTTCAGGATATAGTCATGCTGGCCACATGACCACAGAAGTGTCTTCACACAATGCTGTCTCCCTGTGTTAAAAAACATGAGCACCACTCCCTAGAGCCAGACACTACCTTTTTACATTTACTTAGCAAAAAGAGGGGCTGATACCTGTTGTGATATCAACTATATCTTATCTATGAATAGCTCCTATTGACTTTGAAATACTCAAGTTTCAAGTAAGGAATGAGGTCTTTTAATAACCTATTGTAATGTTACTGTTTTTCCGTTATGCTGACACAAGTGCAGCAGTCAGAGGGAGGAAAAAATTCTTGATACGTTGGAGAGGCAGTCATTTGTCTTCTGCAGATGATAAACACTTGGGGAAAAATGAAGAAATCTTCTGGAAAGAAATGTTAACAGTTTGAAGATTGGATATTTCTTTGTTATAGTATTTGGTGATTAAATGTGGTAGAATCTCCAGCTAAAGAGGAGGGGAGGTGTGAAGAAGGGGCGAGCGTAGAGTCCTCGTACATCAGGAAGTCACATGTCTTCGTTCCCCCAGAATCTCTAAAACTCTTATCTGGCATTTCCCAAGAGAATGCTGGCAGTTTGGCGAGATTCTTGTATATAGAAATGCAGCAATAAAGATTTTGATCAACTCAGTGTCATTCTAGTTTTTTCTGCCTGACATTAAATGTTATACAGGTTGTCCTTGACTTATGACTGAGCCCAGAATTAGAGTTGTAAGTCGTGGCACTCATTGAGTCACCACATGACTGCCTGATTTTAAAACCTTTTTTGCAGTGGTAATTAAGTGAGCACCATGGTTGTTAAGCGAGTGCTGCCATTGTTAAGTGAACAACGCAATCATTGCGCAAACCGATTTCCCCTGATTTCCTGGAAACCGGCAAAAAAAGCCCAGAATTGTGATCATGTGACCACAGAACGCTGCAAAATCCCATAAATATGAGCCAGTTGCCAAGCTCCCAAAATACAATCACATAATCAGAGGGAGAGAGGGTTTTAGCCCTCAGAACTTTGAAAATGGGTCATGAGTAGCTTTGGGAAGTGCTTTAGAAATTCAAATACTTGCTAAATAACTGGTGGTTAAGCAAGGACTACCTGTAAATCAGGGGTGTCAAACTTGCTTTGTCACATGATGTATCAGGACTTTTTCCACCTTCGCTAAACGGTGTGGGTGTGGCTACCTCGTGATGCATCCGGCCCACAGGCTGCGAGTTGGACAGCCCTGCTGTAAATAAAAGGACAAATAAAGCATGTGTATCATTTCAGGTAGATTGTCAGTATAAAAGAGAAGTAGGGTTGACTCAAGAAACAATAACTAACAGGCTTGCAAAACAAGCAAATAAACAGGTGGTGGATGGGATCTTGGCATAGAGTATGAAACACTCAGGTTAGCTTGAGAATACACTGTATGAGGTAATGTTGAGTCAGGTAGTTAAATCACCATTTCTCTTTGACTTTTCTACTGTTAACCTATAGACAGCATAGCTGTTGCTATAGATAAAATTAAATATGCCCTTCCATTTGTCCAGGACTTCATTGTGTAGCTGTTCTCTATGATTCCTATCAAGTCATTGATAAAGTAACTTTCACATTTGCAGCAAGATTAACCTAGCTGACTTTGTCACATAATCTAAAACAGTGGCCCCCAACCTTTTGGGCGTCAGGTACTGGTTCCAAGGAGAGAGGTTTTTCCACAGACCAGAGGTGTTGTGGTTTTGTGTGCTGCCGGCATCCCGCGGATGGGGTTTTGCTTGTTTTTGCAGACTGGTTTCTGGCATGTCGCGGACCTGAAGTTGGGGGCTCCTAATCTAAAGGACCATAGCTAATTTATTTAATTTTGTGCATTGTATATCCTAACATGCAAATAACAGATAAAAGATTTCACCAGTGTCAAGTGACTCAGAAAAATGAACAATTTTACCAGTTGTGCCAGGAGCACCCATCTTTAATTGTCCTTCAGGATTGCAACTTTTGGGCACAAGGTGTGATTAAGGCACACTGAATTTCCAAATGTTTATGACACATTTGTTTTTAAAATGATCTGGCTTAGTATCTAAATGTAGCCCAGAAGCAAGCAGACACAAGGCTGAAAGCTTAAACTTTGCTGTGAATCATACAAATTTCCCACGTCATTTTTTAAAATTAAAATAATCTTCGAAAAACGTTAGGTAAGACAGGGAATGAGACATGACACAATTTTTCTGGTATGAAGCAGCAGTCATTCCAAAGAAACTTACTGTAAATTCCAGTCTTTGTTTTAGTGTCATCTTTTTTTTTTCCTGTGGAGGTCTGAAAAGTGACTTGGTTTTCATGAAGATATATTGAATGGCTAATTTGTCGATGTAAAAGCATTAATGTAATAAAAGGATTTTGAGTTTATTTGGATAAGTGCTGATGGACACATTAGTGAAGGCCAAAGGTGTTTTGCTGTCTTAAGTCAAAGGAGAGAGTGATATATGGGTCCATCTAGAGTTGTCAATTAGCCTGGAAATTAAATCTTGTTTTGATTCTGTCTGAAAATTCAGAGAGCCAATTTGGTGTAATGTTAAGGTACTGGCCTACAAACTAGGAGACTAAATTCTAGTCCTCCCTTAGACACAAAAGTCGGCTGGGTGTCTTTGGGCCAATCACTCTCTCTCAGCCCAATCCACCTCATAATTGTGATGACAGTAGGAGGAGTAAGGAATATTAGGTAAGTTCATAGTCTTGAGTTGCCTCCATTATAATAAAATCAGGATAAAAAAATAAATAAAATAGACAAAGCATCAGAGGAGCAAGGAAGATTGGCTGAGAACCTTAGTGGAATAGAGAAGGCCCTGCTGCTTGTAGGACCAAACTTAAAAGATGTGGTAAAAAGGTAAAGTTAAAGATTCCCCTTGCACATATGTGCTAGTCGTTCCTGACTCTAGGCAATGCTCATCTCAAAGCCGAAAAACCAGCGCTGTCCGAAGACGTCTCCGTGGTCATGTGACCGGCATGACTAAACGCCAAAGGCAAACGGAACGCTGTTACCTTCCCACCAAAGGTGGTCCCTATTTTTCTACTTGCATTTTTTACATGCTTTCGAACTGCTAGGTTGGCAGAAGCTGGGACAAGTAACAGGAGCTCACTCTGTTACATGGCACTAGGATTTGAACCGCTGAACTGCCGACCTTTTGATCGACAAGCTCAGCGTCATAG